TTTCCTCACTTGCAATTGTATACTGTTCTAATACTTTTCCTTATTAATACCACACCCTGAAAAATAGAAAGGAAAAAGGCAGTTTCATTACAGAGCTCCCTTTTCTTTGAATGGACACCACCAAGTGTTTGGCAATACCTTGAAAATCATCTAATCTATGTTTTTTTTACAGGAGAATTCAAGATAGCAGTTTTGATTGAAGCGCTTTACTCCACGAGTTTGCAACTTGAAGCTATACTGCTTGCGTTGTAATGCTTGTTAACAGTGACGCGGCGATATTACATCCCCAGCGGCGCTTTCTTCCTTTCAGCAGACATATGCTTCGCTAATGAACACTTACAACTTCCTGAATCTCTAACTGTGAGGAAAACAAGAGTCAACAGATAACAGAAAATAAATCTTCCATGTTCAAGTCTGTAAATTCTAATGTACACTGATGGAGTAATCATTTACTAACGAGTTTATATTTGTCTACTCTGTAACAGCTTTATCACAATTTATCTTACACTTGCCTCGATTAATGGCCCATTTATGTCCAATTCACTTCACATGCATCAATGCTCATTGTGAACACCAGCAATATCAGGCACTAGACTGAAACCAAAGTACTTGATAAAGCAATGAACCAAAGTCAGCAAATAACACGTACGTGATACGAGAGCTCGATTCAGAAAATTGGTTCTCTGTCAGCTAACTTCTGCGAAAGTGCTTCAGAATTTTTCGAAATTGTAAAGAGTTGATGTTTACGTCTGTTTTCATCTCTGTTTGTTTTTCTGTTCTAATTCAGCCTGACAACTGGCAGACTAGATAGTATCTTAACTGACAGCAAAGAGAAAGAAGAATAAGCTGAATATTTATGCTAAGTTTGAAACATTCATTTTTTTTTAGGAAATGTGTCTTCTTCTTTCACTCCAATTACACATTTGAAAAATGCTCGAGAAAGGGTCGAGAGTTTGTTTATTTGTTTGCTCTACGAGTGTTTTAAGTCTCTAGGAAGTCATTTCACTTCAAACGGAACGCACGGCCAATATTTCCGATGAGTCTCTTTGATTACGAATTGCGCAGAATTCATTCCCTCCGAGAAAACTAAAGCCACAAACTGAAGAAAGCCGAAATTCTTGGCAAGAGCCTAATACTACCCCATTTACGAGGAATCAGAAAAAGTTTTGTCAATTTAATTGAATAAAGTTCCTTTCCGGACTGAAAGTTTCCACGCTCAGTCTCCTTTACACAATTGAGTGATGTCAATGAATTTTACCATTGAAAATACAGAATGCAATTTAAACTGATCCGCGAATCAAACTTCACCAAAGTTATCCAGCTGCGAACTCACAGACACGCATAAGAGAGACTTAATCTTCTCCTCTGCATGAACAACTATCAAGTAAAAACACTTAGAGTGAGTGTCGTTTTTCCACGTAAAAAATATTACTTTCAAAAAAATTAGCACAACGTAATAGACGCATTCGTCAGTTTACCATAAACATTCCATTCCGCTTGGTTTAGACCAATATACTCGTTTTTTAACTCTATCGACGCCATGTCAGCTGCCGGGTTAATTTGATGGAAACCCTTGAGGGCATAATCACTGAATAACAGAGGTGGATTATCTCTCAACTTAATTACTACTGAACCGGGTAATGAAGTGAAGCGACCGCGATATTATAACCTGATGGATATTTTGAGACTTAAACAAACCACGACGGATACTGCAACGCAGACGTGGCAAAACAAAAGATCTAATGAAAAGAACGATAGCTCGGCGACGGCATTTTAAAACTTGTACGTTTCTTTACCTTCCTCTGCAAAACAAAAAAGTGACATCCCCAGAATTTGCGTCCACATAACAGGAACATAGATTGCAAACTGCTTAAGTTTCCCTTTGGAACTCACAGCTACTTACATATGTCATGCTGAAGTTTAGGTGGGTGCCCTTAGAAACGGTAAACACATCCAGCCATTTGCGAAATCCTAACTAAAGATATAAAATCATTTTTCGATCAAAATCTTCCTAAGCGTTGCCGTCCTGATTGCCTAAGGTCCCCATCAACTTCCTCGCGTCAACTATTCCATGCCATCGAAATGTAAGTAATTGCGCCAAGTTTTTGTGCTGACTCTCATATAAACCGTTCGCTCCTCACGTAGCTTATGCCTCCTACGTGATTGTATCTACCTGCACTTACCTTACGGTATCATCTATTTAGGAACTGTAGCCTCTGTTTAGCGTGAAAATATGACTGCTTTGTTTGTGTGATTTTCGTGGCCGGTTCTCCATTTTCGTCGCCAGAGCCGTACGATTTCACTTCAGAAGGGCTCTGGGAACGAGAATTGCGCTCAGACAGCTCGCGAAATACAGAGATGCGCATGCGAGAATCCTAACCCGACGTACTCTCGTTATCAAAGTCCTTGTTTCTGATCGTCAGTCATAACGCCGTTTTGTAGGAACATGAACTCGTGCGACATTCCTGAATCACTCGCGTCTGCAATTTCCAAAGCCCTTTTCATAATGTGACTGTGAATATATGAAAATCATATATGTGACCTGCGAATTAATGAATGACTAGGTGAGTGACCTTCGCAGCAATGAACACTACTCAAGCGTTAGTGAAAAAAAGGCCTGAAAAAATTCGGGCTTGTACGGGAGTTAACCTACGACCCTGCGATACCAGTGTAGTGCTCCACCAACTGAGCTAGCAAGCTAATTGAGAGCTGGTCGTTATGATGGTTCGTAAAAAAAACCCGTGAAGTTTGACTGCGAATATATGAAAATCACATAGTGTGATCATCGTGAACTGCGTTTTAATGAATGAATATGTGAATAATCTTTGCAGAAATTAACACTACTTCAGCAGAGGTGAAAATGAAGCCTGTTACTTCTGTGAACTTTAATTGATTCACTGTATATTATCATTTATCAGATAAACTGCAGTGTTATACAGGGATTTCCGGCCTTGAGAAAAGCCGTAACAACACACGTGAAAATATACGA